GCGCCCGCTCCCCTCAGCGCCCGCTCCCCTCAGCGCCCGCTCCCCTCGCTCAGCCTCCTTTTCGGCCCCGCGGCTCTCAGCCCTTCCCGCGTCCCCCTCCCACTTTCTGAAGCTCGTCTCTTTGCGGAGCCCAATTTTGGGCTCACCTTTTGAGGTGAGACCCTCTCCGAGCTCCGGGGCCGTTACCAGGCGGTGGGGGTTGGGGTTGGGTTGGGGGTTCGGCCGCGGAGGGCCGAGCGCTGGCAGCAGCCTCTGCACCCGCGGCGGAGGTGCGACCCGCCCGGGCTGCTGCCTGCCCGGTTCACGGAGGGCTCCGGGTCTCGGCCGCGTTGCGGTGGTTGTGTGAAGGGCACCGTGCGCGGGCACGGACTGCGCGTCGGCCGGCGGAGTTGGCAGCGCGGTCCGGGGGTGCGTGGCAGTGCCCGCTGCATCCACTGGGAACGCTTCCGCAGCACTGAGGAGGTGCGGAACCGCTCCTAAAGCCCCCAGCCCTGTGCGTGTCCTCTCCGAGAGGAGGTGGCAGAGGGAGTTCAGCCCTGTGGCGCTGGATGTTTTCCTTTTTTTCTTTTAATGCTTTCAGACTCGACAGAATTTCTTAATTTGTGGTTTCAAAGACATCCTTCTGGGGAGAAGGTGTTTGTATTTATTATTTTTGGAGCATTGCACAGAGTCCTGTGTGGGTTAGGGCAGTGCTTGGTGAGGGTGCAGCGTTCTGGTGGCTGCAAATAACGGTCCATGGAATCATTCCGTCGTCACCAGTGTGTGTGTGTCCCTCAGCTCTGAGCCTCCCTGCGGGTTAAGGTGAGGAGGGGCAGTTGGGAGCCATCCCCTGTTCCAGCGAAGTGCATCCTGGGGTTGCTGGTGGAGCACAGTGATTCAAAGCAGAGGAGGTTAGAAAGGGAACGTTGTTTCCAAACACACTTCAACAAGCAAACTTCAAAAGCTTTGAGCCGATTTGCAGCCCTGCCGTCTCTGCTTTTCTACCAGTGATTAGGCAGCCAGCAAATGCTGTTGGTGTGTGTTGTCCAACAATGGGCCGTGCGCCCGTCCACGCAGCCTGCGGACGTGTGGATCACGGGTGTGCTTCCCAACAGGTGGCTTTGATTCCACAAAGAAAAACACGCTCGCGTTTCAATCTGAAATTAATTTGGCAGGGGGTTGAAATGCTTTTGGGAGAGCACGAGTCTGATCCCGAAGCCTATGTGGTTTGATCTGAAGTTCTGGGCTTGCTGGGTATGGAGTGCTGTGGAGAGAAGCAGGCTGGAGAGCCATCCCTGTTGGGTGGATGTGGAGGCAGCTGTGCCAGCTTGCTCGATATGGGGTCACTGGAAGCCCTTTGCCTGTCCTGTTCAGAGGCAGCTTTCCCTGTGGGACTGGGTTTAAGGGAAAGAAAACCCTCTTTGGTATATTCTAGCAAGGGGCTTTCTGCAAGGGATGTGGCAGTGGGAAGTGGGCTGAGCCTTCCATCAGAAGGATCCGCTGAAATCTATCTGGGGCTGTGTCACCTGCATTTGTGCTTGAGCCCATCTGCTGCTGCAGAGCAGATTTTCTGTTTTGACATCACCGAACTTTGAGCTCTGGTTTGCTCTGCCCTTCCCGTCGCATTCCTCTTGGCACCACAGCCCTGCGGGGCCGGCAGCTGCCTGCATTGCTGTTGTTCACGATTGCGTTCACAGGATGTCCCCTGCATGTGGGTCCTGCAGGGTGGGATATGAGAAGGCAGAATGAGCCATGTGAAGAAGGGGAGTCACTCAGTCCCCAGTTTTTCCATTTATTTGGGACCTCCCTGCCCTGCAGAGCACTGGCTGCACTGAGGACAGCACATTGGTGCGGTTGTGCCTGTGGTGTGTTCCTGGGGCAGGTTCCTCCTGCTGTGGCTGTTGGGATGGTCATGCTTCCAACCCTGATGGCTGAGGCTGCTGCAGAGTGCAGCGTTTCCGCTGGTGTTTCTCTGTTGGCATGTGAGGCTGAAAGAGAAGCAGCTTGGGTTTGACTGTGCTCTTGTTTTCTCCGCTGCTCCATATGGAGAGGCAGTTCTTTCTGTTCTCTTTTTAATGCCCTCTCCTTTCGCTACCTTGAAGTCTAAAGTGAGGCAGAACCAGCTCGTTTTCTGATGTTTCTCCCACTTTCTGCAGTAGGCTCTCCACTGACAGCTGCACAAAGTTTGATCTGCCGCAGGGGGCCCAGTGCAGGGTGAGAGCATCGCGGATGGTGCACGAGGAGCTTCAAAGTGGCGTAAGCAATAATTCAACAAGAAAAAGTTTGGCAATCTGCATTTCCCTGAGGACGAAGGGAGGAGGTTGTCCTGTGTATGCTGGCAGCCCAGTGCACTGGGGTCACCTGCAGTTGGGAATTGTGCTGGAAACTGTGGTGTCATATGGGATGTTGTACTGAAGTGCCTACTGTCATCTTAGGCCAGCTGCTTCGTCTGCTCTGGTATCCTCAGGGCTAACACAACTAACGGTGCTGCACACTTCTCTCTTGTGTGTCCAAAGTGCTGAGAGGATAAAATCCGTCAATGAGTGCTCAGTACTTGTCTAATTGTCAGCATGTAATTGCCCTGAAGGCAGGGTGCTGCGTGTTCTGGGTTGGCTCGTGGTGCAAGCTGACTTCTGGTGCCTTGTCACTCACTGGGAGGCTGGAACTCTTCTCCCTCACAGCTGCTTTCCCAAAGGCTGGCTGATCTCCTGGGGAGGAATCCCAGGAGTTCAGGCATTCGCAGAGTAAGAGATGCTGCTTGCACTCTTTACACGCTTCTCTCCTGTTTAAATGACTGTCCAACCATTAAGCCTTGTCATGGTCGTATAATTAAGATGGGAATTAATATTTAATCTGATTGTAATTTGTTGTTGGAATCCATCCCAAGCCCATCCCTGGCTGTATCTCTGTGTGAGGTGAGTGGGTACCTGTGGGAGGACTCATGTTTCACAGAGGGGATTTTGCTGGGAGACAGAGAACTGGGTGCAGGAAGAAACCCTAACCTTATAGACCCAGAGCAATCGTAGTCATTTTGTTATCTGTAGGAAGCAAATGTTTGCTTTATATTCAGCTGTAATACTGGAAGGGATATGGTAAATCCTTCTTATCAGTATTTGCCAAGTACACGTTGGGCCAAAATCAACTCTGGTGCAATTTCGTTGCTTTCTGGAGCAGAACTGGACCTGTCTGCAGGGTTTGTCTGCTGGTTTTGTATGAAAGAGACTGACGAGGCCATGCCTTGTGTCTGTCCGTCTGCCTTCCCTCTTCCGTGCAGCAGTAGGACCTGCAGGCCAGGCACAGCCCGCAGTGTTGGCCTGGGCTCTGCTGGTGGCACCGGTGCCTTTGGTGTGAGTGTGTGAGGCAGATCCCGTTCTGCCCTTCATCCTCAGGATCCTGCTGCTGCGATAGGGATCTGCTTTCTGTGAGAAGTCCAGCAGAGAGTAATACAGTGCAGTTTATTATGTCAGCGGATAATAAACGTACTCTGTGACTGCTATGATAAGCAATTGCTCTACTCCACTGGAACATTAATATCAAGTCTTCTGAAATTATTTAAAAGTCTGTGTCTGCATTGTAAATGGAATTGCTGGGTACTGCCCCGTTAAATTTAACGGAGCTGTGGAACGGCGTGGTCTGTTCTGTGTTTCTTTGGTTTGGGTTTTTTCTTTTTTTTTCCCAAGATGTCCCATTGGGAGGGTTTCTTGAGGACAGGCTATTAGTATTAAAGGTGTATAATGAAATGTGAGCATCCTGAGAGGCTGTTCTTCATCCAAATCGATGGGAAATTTAAAGTCTACCAGTGAAGGCATTGCACCTGCGTTGAGTCTGCATTGCTCCCTTGCTCTGCCTTCCTTCCTTGCTCTTGTCTATTACTTAGACCTTGGTGCCACTTTCCCTTTGGATTTGGGGTGCTTCCCACCTTGTTCAGTGTAAGGCCTCGGGAAATGGAGCAGGAAGGACTGCTCCTGAGAAGGGAGGCGGGCTGGCATAACTCGGAGCTGAGACAGGGCAGGCCCTGCTTTGCTCTGCTGGCCGTGCTTGAGAGTTCCTGAATGGCTGTCAATAGCTGATGTAGTTTAGTGAGAAACGTGTGCCTCGTCATGCTGTTACCTTCCTGGAGATGTCCCGTGACACGGCATTCTCTCGCCTTTCTGGAAATACCGGTGCTGCTTTACCAAGATGTCTCACGTAGCCCTCCTGTTTATCATGCTGACCCGGAGCACCCGTGCTGTGTCCGTGCCCTGCCTGTCACGTCGGCGTGCCTGGCTCTGGGCAAAGCACTGAGCGAGCTCCTCGGGAGACGTGCAGCTCACTGCGGGGCGAGGGTGGGAGGGCAGGGATCAGCAGATGTTCAGGGCGATGCGCAGAGGGTTGGGGAGTGACGGAACCTGTCACTGCGTGGAGATAAGGCTGGTGTGCGAGATGCCGGCACTCGCCCGCGGCTGTGACGGTGGTGGGGTGGGGGAATCTGGGCACACAGGCTTGCTGCTCCATCATTTCCTGCTGCGTTGGAACCCTCTGCTGCAGGGCTGGGGCAGCGCTGCTGCTGTTGGGCTGATCCTGCCCCTGGAGTGGGAGGAGGCATGGCACAGCTCTGTGTGTGCTGAGTGCTATGCTGCACTGCTGCGTAGCACAGCACGTTGGCAGAACGTGCACAGAAAAGAGGAAAAAAGAAATGCAGGGTCTGGTCCCACAGCGGTGCCTTTGCTGGCTTGGCAAGAATTGTTTAGGTCCTTCTTCCCAAGAATGATTTTGTAAACATAGCACTGCCTATTAGCCATGTAAATTACTGCCATTAGTGGCAATTGTTGTGATGGAAAGAGGAGTGCCTGGACGCTGGGG